ATGGTCTGATAAGAATAAATGAGTTATATAGATGTCATTGAAATAAGGACCTTTAAGTGCAATACTTATGTTTTATGATATGTGTACTTTAAAAATAGCTTCCTCAAATCTTTTGGTAACTTGAAACCTTAGAGTTTTGCTAAATGAAAGTAAATGATGGAAAATTCATTGAATATCTAGAAAAGGTAAAACAGGGGCTGGCCCAGTGGCGCAAGCGGTTAAGTGCGTGCTGTCCGCTTCGGCAGCCCGGGGTTCGCAGGTTCAGATCCCAGGCGCGCACTGATGCACCACTTGTCAAAGCCATACTGTGGCAGTGGCCCATATAAAATAGAGGAAGATGGGCACAGATGTTAGCTCAGGGCCAACCTTCCTCAGCAAAAAAAGAGGAGGATTGGCATTGGATGTTAGCTCAGGCCTGATCTTCCTCACAAAAAAAAAAAAAAAAGATAAAACAGAAAAATGTTAATTACTGAACAGGGGTTTCTCTACTTTTGGCTTCTTATTACAGAAAAACTAAAAGATGTTTGGATCTATTAGTACACATGTCTTGTGCCACATTAAAAAACTTATGCTATGAGAAAATGTATATTTTCAGTAAAAGAAGGTATGAGGAAGGGAGATATTTTTAAGAAAGTAAATTTGTCATAAAATAAACCTGGTTATGGGAAAGAAAAAAGGACAAATTCTGAATGTAAAAAAGAAAGTTTGTGGAAGGGGAACCCTGAGAAAAGCGTCTTGTGCATGTTTGAGCTGGCTAAGATTGGAATGAATTTAATTAAGTACATGAGTTTTAATACCAAAAATAAGCTGGTGCATAATGAGAATTTGGTTTTCTATGTTTGTTATAAGGACAAGGTTTCTTGGGCTTTTAATCTACTCCTGATAAAGTGATTATGAAAAGTTTTTCTTTACCTTCGTGTAATCTGCCTAAAAGACAGGGATGTTATGTTTTATCAAAATAATTTCCTGTGTTTTATGTTAAAAGCTGAGTCTTTCCTATTACAGAGAGCTAAGGTTTTGCAGCTATGTAACCTTCTATATTAGTCTTTGAAATTTTTTTGTCATCATGATTAAATAGATAATTAAATATTAAGTTGCATAGTGATCTGTGATCCTATTTAGGCAAGTATTTTAGGACTTTCTTTGATATTTTGGACAAACTTCCCCAAATCAGATTCTACATGAAGTCTTTTTTGACTTCTAGCTAACATTGGGATTTTTCAGAGGATCCTTGAAACATCTCAAAACATTGGTTTTCTCTCCTTATAAAAGGAGAGATATTAAACTAATTAGGCTTATCTGATATGTGAAATTACATGGGAAGCATTGTGAAATAAGATTAAGCCTTCTTCATGTTATGTCTTTAAATGCATGTCTTTAAATACTTTGTAAGTATATAACAGTTCCAGAAATTATGTGAAATTCGTGGGAGTCTAAGATGTCCTGGTATAAAAGGCTGTCTGTCATCAAAATTGAGCCTCACACTCAATTTTAATATTAGGAAAGCTCCTTAGCTGATTGTCATGTAAAGGCAGCAATCACAGAATAAAGATTATCATATGTGAATGACGTCCATTCTGCCTTTGCAAAGAACAGTCCCTCATTGCCAGACTTCTCCCATCCTGATGTGCTTATAACATGGCAACAGTCTGATCCTGAAGCAGAGAAATTAAGGTGGGTAAACAATGGCTGTAAATTCAACAGTCAGGGCTATGGAAAACCCAAGACGGCCTCTGGGCTCTTCCCAGCTCTCTGGCAAATCCCATTTTTCAGTTTTTACGTTGCTTCACCCACTATAGGAAAAACTATTCCTATCCTCAGAGGCCTCAGAACTCCTCCCTCTGGGTCCTTTGAGCACCTGCAGCTGGACTTCATTCAACTGCCACTTCCTATGGCTCATCAATATGTTCTCATTATTGTATGTGTTTTCTGGATGTGTTAAAGCCTTTCCCTTGCCACACAGCTGATGCCCTCACAATGGCAAAGAAAACTGTTAGAACATGTGCTTCCCACTTGGGATGTACCAATCTCCAGTGACCAAGGTACTCACTTCACTGGGCAAATCATATGAACCTTAGTGAAAACTTTGCAAACTTCTTAGGATTATCACTGTCCCTATCACCCTCAGTCATCAGGCAAAGTCAAGAAAACTAATGGAAAAACTGGATTCAAGCAGAATATTAAATTACATAGGACCACATGAGCTGAGAAAAAGATTCTCTAACGTTTTGCTTTTCCAGACTTAAAGAAATCTTTTCTCTACTGACAACTTGGTAAGAAATACCTTTGTGAACAAGGATGAAACATTGACTTTTTCTCCCTACCTGATCTCTCCAGAGTTCAGAAAGTCTCAGTGAATATTCTTATTTTCATTTGTATAAATAATCAGGCCAAAATTTTAATTTAAGCAAATTAGTTTTGCTGTGATTACCTTTAGCAAAAAAAAAAAAAAAAAAAAAAAAATCAAGGGTAATTATAGAGAGAAAAATTCTATTTGTACCTTTGTTGATATTAGATTTCAGTCCTATTAATTGTCTTTGGTTTGTTATATACTGTGGACTGGACTCGTCTGGCCTCAGGTATTGCCTTCGGTCTTGCTGAGTGTTCTCATGGCCCTCCTTGGAAAACATGAACTGACTCTACATGAGATGGTCACCAGCAGATCAGTGTCTGTTGGTTCACAGCCTTCTGCTGATGCCGTTGTCTTATGCAAGTCTGACCAGCTACTGTGAGTCTCTACTGTCTTATGCTCAAGCCCATCATCAACAGGTTAGACGCTTTCCTGGATTCCAATTCAAAGAATCCTGTTGGTCACAGTCTAGAGCCTGGTGACTGGGTATTCTGGAAGCATCATCAGAGGAAGACAGCCCTTGAGCCTTGTTGGAAAGTACATTACCAAGTGCTTCTGACCACTGACACTACTACAGAGCTAGAAGGCATTGCATTCTACGTGTCCCCTTTCGGGTACTCCTTTGTGTGTGGATTACTATGCGGACCCATGGGCTTATGAATGTCTGGACAGCTGGCATATGGCAGGACAATGCCCTTTAGGATACCATAGTTTTCCATTTCAAGTTCTTGTTAAAGAAGAAACCCAACCACAATCTCATAGGTCTAGGTGAGAGTTGGAGACCCCCTTTTTACACCTCATCTACTCCCCATTGATTACCATGGCCAAAGGCATTGTCACTTGGACTGACATTGTCCATCACAATCTGTTGATAAAAAAACATATCCCTGATGATAGCTACACTGGCAAATTCTACCACTTAAGCCCTAGCTCAACAACAATGATCCCTGGATTTCTTAGCAAGGGTTGTATTAGGTAACTGAATGGCACTCCGTTACCTCCTTGCAGAACAGGGTGGCATCTGTGTCGTAGCCAACACTTCTTGCTACATCTGCATCAATTCTTCTGGTGATGTTGACTTAGAACTCACAAAAAAGATAAAAGTAGCACAGGATGTCTCCTGTCCAATGTCTTTCAATGACACCCTCTGGTTCCCTGTTGATGTTTTCAGCTGGCTTACTTCAGGTATAGGTGCTTGGATGAGATCAGGACTTCAAATACTGTTTATGATTATTATTGGAATTTTGCCATGTGTACTTGTATTTAAACTTCTTATGCTACGGCTCACTCAGATCTGCTCCAGAACTTCCTCAAACACCAAGATTATGGTCACTCAACATATTGAAATGATACGTAAGGCTTATTCACCTGAACCTTCAGATAACCAGATGAAATTCCCAGGCAAGGAAACTGCCTAAAAGTCATTTCCTGACTGCCTCATTGCTCAAATGTGGCCTAAACGTTATGACACTGACTCCTAGGAATAACCATTGGGAAAAAAATATTAACTTCACCTAATGTGGGACATGACTCTTTAGGACAGGCCCATCCCAGCGATGCGGGACTAAACAAACCTATGGTCGATCAGTGATGCTTTCAGAGAAAGACCTCCATCAAAAGGGGAAAAATTTGAAATGTGAAATAAAATGGACTCACTTATATCTAAGGGCTTTAAAATGGAGCTGGGAAGCCATTAAGGAAATGGGTCTTATGCACGTCCTCATGCAGAAGAACATGAACTGTTGAACTGAGTAACACTGTAAGAAACCTGCAGCTCCTCACAGTGGTAGACTTTTGCCCCCTCTAGCTAGCCTTAGCTATCAATTGTTTTTAGCCAAGATTAGCTCTCTGTTGCCAACTCCAAGTAACATTCTTTGTAATACAAACCTCCCTTCTGTGCCTTTAAAAGCACCTAACTTTTACTCCCTAGGGGACACTGTTTGGGTTTCTAGCTGAATCTGTGCTCCCTGAATTGCAATTCTTTGATCCCAAAATAAACACCTCTCTGCCTCTCATTTTTCTTCTTTATTTTTAGGTTAATCAGGCCAGTGGTGTGTGTCTGACTCCCGCCTAGCACTTGGATTTCTGTTTTGATTTGAGCCAGAATATCAGCAAAAGCTGCAAAGCGAATGTTCCGCTACATGCCCAGCTGGGCGAGCAGTGCGGGACAGGTTGCTGAGAGACTGAAGAAAAGACTCGGAGACAGTGAATGAGACATATGGGTTTATTGGGGAGTTACTCCCAGGGAAGGTGGAGTAGCAGCCGGCTGGACAGGAAATGTGCACCCACTACCACCCCCTGAGAGAAGCTTGCTTAATTAGGCAGAGGAAGAAAGGCTGCATGCTTGCCAAGGGTGACTGTCCCTGTATGACCTGCATTCCAAGGACCAGAGCTTTCCTCCTGCCCCTCCCCACCCCCCCGCCGCCCCCGCAGGGCCTCCGTGTTCCTTCAGACCTCAAGGGTCTCAAAGGTCTGCTAACTCGCCCACGAGAAAACAGCTGGGTTGGCCAAGCCCAGGCCTGTTACCATCATGAGTGCTGGTGTGCAGCCCAGACAAGGAGCCTGAAGGACACGTGGTTTAAAGGGCATGTAGGATAGTGCCCCTACCGAGAACATGCTCCTGATATTTTTGATTTGCTCTGTCTTCTAGGCTAGCCTGAAAGCCGACTCTATAAAGAAGCCCTTTGCACAGCGCTGCCAAGACTTCGTTCAAGTCATTGAGGATTTTGCAGGAATGATACAGCTCTGGGGTGTGTCTCATACACTCCTTGAAAAACGTTATTACTGACTCCCACCTCTGAGCACTGCCCTACACAGAGGCCTGACCCGTACTGTGACTATCACATTTGGAGACACACTGAATCATGTGAACATGCAGGCCAGGATCACGCCAAGGCCTCCCTCCGGCTGCTCCGGAGCCGAGCAGCCCCCACTGGGGCTCACAAGCGGCCTGGGAAGGGAGCCTCGGGGCCCCGTCCTACGGATGAGGAAACTGAGGCTCGGAGAACTCGAGCCCCACGGGGAGGAGGGCTCGGCCGGGACCCACACCGCTGGGCGACTCGAGGCTCAGCTTTCACCCCGAGCTCCCTTCCGCCGGCCCGTTCACGAGCGTTAACCGAGCACACGGGGCGGGCGTGAGAGGCGGCAGGAAGGCTGCAGGAGGGCGCGGCCGGCCCCGGGTTCCCCGCTGGCCCGGCCCGGGGCTCGCGGAGGAACCAGACGGCTTCGGCGGAGGTTCCGGGAGGCCGCCAAGACACGGGGCGGTCCCGCCACTCACCTGTGGGGTCCACAGCGTCGCTCGCATCAAGGACAGAGGCCTTCACTCGACTACCGGGCGCCGGAACGTCGTCATCAAGCTGCGCGTGGGACCACGACCCCTTGCCTGGAGGAGAAACGCGCCATAACCATTCCGGGATTCCACCTCGAAAGGCGCGTGCGCAAAGCGAAGGCCGGCTGGGTCTACGGTCTCCACCTCTGAAGACGCGTGTGCAGTAGGAGGAGCTGCGCGGCTTAAGCCTGCAACACCCGGTATCCACGGCAAGGACTGGGCGTGCGCGTAATGAGAGGCCAGTTATTCCGGTCCTCGAGGCGCGCCTCATAGTGGGGAACCGCCGGAGAACAATTACGCAGAGTGTATTGACTGCCCTGCCTCCGACAGGCCTTTATTGAGCGCCCTCTGTATGACAGGCACTGCGCTGAGTGCTGCTTACCTAAGCGAGAACGACCGATGCAGCCTAGTAGGGAAGCCCTGATCGCCAAGGAGCAGGTCTCTGGGGTCGACCACGTTTTCCCCCACACGTAACACACCGCCCGACACGTACATGTCTGTGGACAGAATGGCCAGGGGGAGACGGAGCCGTCCCTACCCTCTGGGGTCGGGCTGCCGAGGAGGACAGGCGGGTCGTTGCCGGGAAGGGAACCGCCGGCCGGGCCGGTAGAGGGCGCTGTTGGGGCGGGGGCGGAGGACAGGGGCGGGGCGCGCACCTTCCCGCGGCCGCGCAGATGGCACCCCCGGCCGGGGGCGCCCCCGGGGCTGCAGGCGACCCTGCAGAAGCTCGCGCTGCGGCGGAAGAAGGTGCTGAGCGCCGAGGAGACGGAGCTGTACGAGCTAGGGCAGGCGGCGGGCGGCGCCATCGACCCCGACGTGTTCAAGTGAGTGGGCGAGGGGGCGCTGCGCTCGGCCGACCCCCGACACTCCTGCTCCCCACCCCCGCCCTTGTCGGACCCCCGTGAGGCCCAGAGTAGAGTCGGGGTCTTGAGGGAGGCGGCCACGCCTGGTCCGGGCGAGGAGGGCTCCCTGCGCACCGCGTCTGGTCTCTCCAGGATCCTGGTGGACCTGCTGAAGCTGAACGTGGCGCCCCTCGCCGTCTTCCAGATGCTCAAGTCCTTGTGTGTGTGCCGGGCAGAGGCTGGCGAGCGAGCCCCAGGACCCTGTGGCCGTGTCTCTTCCCACATCGAGCGTGCCCGAGACAAGTCAGAGTCGGGCCCGGTACTCCCTGCCCCTGTCGCCCGGGCGGCCGGGTGGCCGGGGCAGGGAGCAGGGCAGCGCCCGCCAAAGCGCGGGCTTGCCCTCAGTGGCCAGGCCTATCTGTCGGTCTTCTCCCAGAACCCGCTGGGTCATCCAAGGGCTCCCCGTCCCCAGCTTCGGGTTGGCTGCCGCCCTTGAGAGAGCACGTCCAGATCGGGTGGGCTCAGAGGGGCTGCCCCAGGGAGGCCCCAGTAGGCTGGGCCTCATCCGGGACTTTCGCTGCCCGACTCTTCTCACCTCTGGGCTCCTGCCTTCACTCCACAAACGCGGGAACAAGACTGCTTTGGTTCTTGTTCTCACGGTTTGTACAGCCTCCAGGGACGTGCTCAGGGAGCTGGGCAGGCAGAGGCCTTCCTGCCACCCCCTCGCCTGTACCCCACCCCGGCCCAAGTCCTGCTCAGGAGTCTGGCCAGCTGAGCTTCCCTCCTCGGGTTGTGGGACGGGAGTCAGCGTGGCAGCCCCTGGCTGCCCTAGATGCTCAGGGTGCAGAGGCCTGAGTGGCAGAGCGCTGGGCTCAGGTGTGAGGGGCCTCCTCACTCTCGAGGGTCATGACTGGGGGATGAACAGGTGCTGGTGACCAGGTGTCACGGTGGAGCTCCAACTGCATCCTCCCTGTGTGTCACTTCTGTTCCCAGTGGCTATCAGAAACCCTTGACATGCAGCCGAACCTCCTGGGCTGGCTCCTGGGCCAGAAGCACCAGGGCTCTCACAGACACCCCGAGATGGGGCTGACGTTTGGGTAGGGGGCACGCTGTGCCCCTGTGGGTGGGAGTGCCAGGGCCCTGGGTACCTGCGTCCCCTGTCCTGTGAGACCCCGGGCACTCGAGTGCAGGCCTCCTCACTGACCCACGCTCTGTCTGCTCTCTGTGTGTCTCTCTCTGACCTCCAGAGGCCTCCTTCCTCTTTTCCAAGAACTGTAGCCCCCTGCAAGGCCCTCCTTTTCCTGGGCCCCACGGCCTTTGGCCTCTCCAGTTCTACTCCACGGCCCAGCTGCCAGGCACTCGCCTCTCTCTCCTGGGCCCCCCGGTGCCCTCCCGTTCTCTTGCTGCCCGTTCTCTCCTTTTACAGGTTGTTTATTGGTTTATCTCTGGGGGTTGGTGTGCTTTCTTGTTTCCATGGAAATTGCCGTGGCCCCCAGAAAGCCAGAGCAGCTTCAAGCTACAAGGGCAGGACCCTGCAGGCCATCCCTGCCATGCAGCTTGGAGACCAAGGACAGGATTTCACGGTTCGCTTTATTAGAGACAACCCGCAGTAATTCTAGAACAGGACCAACACCCCATCCCCCAGAGGCTAACTCTGCTGGGTGAGGCTTGTGCTCTGTAGGTGCCCCCACCCCCAAGGAGGAGAACAGACCGAGGGCCAGGGAAGGGGCAGCGTGGTGCGCTGGGGAGAGCAAAGCCCTGGGTGTGGGAGACACCTTTGCTTCTTAGATGCTGTCAGCCACCTGGATGGGCAGCCTGGAGGATAAACTGTGACTCCTCTTTTCTGCCTGGTTCGTGAATCGGGGGTACCTCCCAGGCATTGCCAGGGGCATGAGGGAGAGCCTGAGATCCCACAGTTGATCGGGCTTTGCCCTCCTTCATGCCCCTCCCCATGTCGCCCACCTGGAAGTTCCAGGTGCCACCTGGAGCTCGGGCCAGGGAGGAGTGGGGAAGGGCCGAGGGGCAGGTCAGGGGAGGGGTGGGTGGACTAGAGGCTGGGCTGAGGAATCGATGGGTGAGTTTCCAGAGGGAGGGAGAAAGAGGGAACAGAGCCCTCACTCGAGGGCTCACTCACTCAGGACTCTAGGTGCCAGGCTGGCTCCAGTGCTGAGGGCGCAGTGGGACTGCGAGAGGGACATGCTCTTGGTCCAGGGAGGGAGGTGGCCAGATAAAGCGACAGTAACAGGGACGGGAGGAGGCCAGTGCTGCTGGCCTTGCTGGAGCAGTAAGGGTTCAACAGGTGGGGGGACCAGCTGCAGTCTCCTTGCCCTGCAGCCCTGCAGGTGGGGTGGTGGGGAGGGGCTGAGAGAGGAAGGGCAGGCGGGAGGCAGATGCGGAGCCAGGATCCAGGCCACTGGTGGGAGCTGGGCCTGAGCTGGGGGGTGTGGGGAGAGGGAGACAGTGGGGTGTCAGGAGGTGTGCTGTGGGAAGGGCGCTGGGAGCACTGGCATAGAGGGGATGGGAGGATCCGAGGGGGCTCTGAGGGAGGTGGGGAGGAAGCCTCAAGCCCGGGGACAGGAGTGGAGCGCTGGGCTCACAAGGTTGTTCTCTCCTCAAGTGCTCAGGCCTTGGGTCCTGCTGGGCTGGGCGGCCAGCAGCCAGGAGACCGGGACACCGAGGCCCTGGGGAGATGCCTGGTGGGGTAGAGGGTAGCCTGGGAAGGGTTTGATGGGGAGGAGTGGGAGGGGAGCGGGCAGATGAGGGGCCATGCCAGGAATGTGCTGTGGCCGATAGGCAGAGGCCACCAGACAAGACAGATGTCTTAGGCCACATGTCGCAGCATCTGTCACAGAGACCTTCGGGCCACCTCATTAATGGTAGGATCTGGGGTGGAGAAAATAAAGAGTTCTCAGAGTGACCCCGCTGTGGGGCCCATGATGGCCCATGAGGACGATGGGGGTCTTGGGCTGTGGGCACTCACTGGCCTTAGGTTTCCCACAGAATTGGGGTTTGCAGTTGCTCCAGGCCATGGGCTGGACCCCACTCAGGGGCTTGACTCTGGGTTCCTGACCCCTGGCCATCGAGGTGGCCTGTGGGGACTGTCACTGACATGCTCACTCATTTCTGCCTTTTCTTGGCAGAAAAGGGGGAAACAGAAGACCCCGAAAGCACAGAGGGATAATGCTTGTCATGAGGATGGGGGTCACTAAGGAGAAGTTAAATTCAGTGGAGTGCTCTCTGTTGAGGTTTAGGGAAACTACATTTTAACAAGACGTCCCTTGGGCCGGCCCCGTGGCGTAGAGGTTAAGCGCACGCATTCCGCTGCTAGCACCCCAGGTTCGGATCTCGGGCGCGCACCGAGGCACTGCTTGTCAGGCCATGCTGTGGCGGCGTCCCACATAGAGCAACCAGAAGGATGTGCAACTTAGACATACAACTATCTACTGGGGCTTTGGGGAGAAAGGGGGAAGAAAGGAGGAAGGTTGGCAATAGATGTTAGCTCAGGGCCAGTCTTCCTCAGCAAAAAAAGAGGAGGACTGGCATGGATGATAGCTCAGGGTTGATCTTCCTCAAAAAAAAAAAAGTCCTTCAGGACTTGTGAGATGAACTTGGTGAGCGAAAGCCGTGAGCCTCACATGGAGCTGCGCCGTCCAGTGAGGGAGCCACAGGCCCCGGGGCTGGTGCAGGTGAGATGCACTGGGAGTGTAGGTGCAGAGCGCATGCCCAGACGCTGGAGGACTGGCACAGAGAAGGAATGTACCACTTCACGAATAACTTTCATATTGATTCCATGCTGAAATGATCATATATTGGATATTTGCGATTAATTAAAACAGATTAATTTCCTGTTTCTTTTTACCTTTTAATGTGGCCATTAGAAAATTTAAAATTACACATGTGGCTCGCATCACATTGCTATTGAACAGCGCTGCTCCAGAATATTCACAATCACGGCTGTGTGCGTGCGTGCGTGCAGGGCAGGGTCACTGGGCACGTCCATCTGGGAGAGCACCTTCCCAAGGAGCGGAGGCTCAGTTCAGGGTTAAAACTGCATGTGTGCACATCCCTGGGGCACGTCGGTCACTGTCGTGTCCGTAATGTGTTCTAGAGGCAGTGATTAAGCCCCTACTTTGAGCCCGGCCAGAGA